AGACCTATTCTGTATCTTCCAAGAGGCGACCTAAGATTCCCCGAAGACTATTACCTGCTACCACACTTCGTGCACTTATGAGGCCGTTTCACTTCATCATCCTCCTCTTCCTCCTCATCTTCGTTCATCATGACGACGTTGGTGGTGACAGTGTGCGACACAGGGAGTACCCACCGTTGAGGAAATGCAAGTGAGCGTAAGATTGCAAGTGGTACTATTTCCTCGGTGTGGCCGCTGGTTCGAACGTGTAATTTCTATCAACTTTGCTCGCTCATTGGTCCACTCCCTCTACTCAATTCTACAAAATACTCAACACTGCGGACGACCTGTTATCTGCTATCATTCAGTCATTTAGTTAGATGGGAGTAGTGGGTAGTGGAGTGAAAGCATCGCACGTTGCGACAGAAATCGAGTGGGACCCGAAAGTCCCAACCGCGAAATTCTGCGAATAATCATTCCCAAAATTGCAACAGTGGATGCTTCGCTCCGCGCGAGTAGTGGTAGCGAGGTTACATGAATCTCTAACCAGCCACAGTGAGTCAGGTCGATACTCTCTGGCTGACGACCCTCGCTTGACTACTCGTGCCTCCCCAATGCACTACTCACTACTCCAAACGCACTCCTACTGATTCTACTAGATGACACAACTACTGCCTTTCTGTCTCGAGTAAAGTATAGGATCAAATAACTAACTACATCTCTTGTCTCCCATAATCATTTTTGCGTGCTTTCTCGACCGGATTTCCATAGCTTGAGCGGTGTAGCTCAGCCAGGCGTCACTCTTCCATTTACCCGCCGCTTGCACCTCCTTTTCTGGAACGTCACACAACTTGAGAAGAGTACTGCCAGTTCGACGCAGGCTATGCCCAGTAACATTCTGTATTGACCAACGATCGCCCATACCTGGGAACTGTGAGTCGACTAAGGCCCTCAACTTTCTAGCATAGTTGTTCTTCTGTATTTTCGGGAACAGACGGAAGCGATCATTCTTCAGAGCATTCTTCCGACGGGCTATCTCATGAGCTGCACACCACTTCACCCCACATGCGTCCTGCTGTTTCCCTTGCATCTCCCAGTGATCGTCACAATCGATCTCCTTATAAGTTGGACCATCCTCAGTCTTGGGGTTCATCAACTTAATTT